CGACATTCTACATAGATGCAATGAATCCTTAATAATCTGAAATAAGAAATACCACAGAGCTTTGCAAATATATTTTTTTTATATTTTAATGTTTCACTTGAAAAAAAAATACATTGATTTAATTACAAAACTTTGTGATAAAGGGGATGACTTCAAATTTTTCTCACGGCAACTTTCCTTAATTACGCAGAAAAATATCCTTTAATATGCATATAATTTTCATTACTCCCAGGTAAGTCATTCTGCAAGAGTTTATTCTACGTACGAACAAGCTAATGTCAAAGAAGTTGATGAAACAAAAATATCAACATCGTTTTAAAGGCAATATTTTACAAATTATATAATCGAAACAATGGCCTTGTCAACAAATATGATCTAGCATGAAATTGAATACTGACCAACTATTTTTGTTAGATCATCAAAAGGGGTACAAGGTAGTTGCAACCCAAAGACAGGGTCCTTCATGACACCTTATCCCTTGTTTCATTTAAAGGTCTGCATTTGCTTTGTATCAAATTTGATTTGTTTCAACTGACTTTTGAGTTTGAATACTGTGTGTTATATCCATATTTCTTTCAGCACCTTTTACTTTTTTTGTTTACAGTTTGTTATCATCAAACAAGCGCTGACAACAAAAAATACTTAAAGTTAAGAAAAAAATCTACATCATGCTTGATCATAATTCAAACAATTAATTGAAAAAATAACTGATAGTTATCAAGCTCAAAAAAACAATCGAAACAGACTAAACACGGTCTTCTCAAACGCTAGATCTTGGATCAGATGCCACGGAGAGGTAAGTATTTCCTGTCGATTGGTGGTACATTGTATCACCTGCTATAAATGTGCTCTTTGTCAAGATAAGGAGAAAATTCAAACAAAAATGTTTCACTTTGCCTTTGAATGATCGGAAATATATCTTACCTGCAAAATATAATTAACATATCCATATTCATACTTTAAAAATAATACTCTTTTGCAATATATTTGTCTTTTCCGTTGATTTTAGCAAAATTCAACTGTATATTATTTGAATTCTTAGGTTAAAATGAACTTTTTACCTAACAATGTCTTGATCTGGAATACTGTTCGTTATCTCCATATGGTTCCTTAATTTTTTAAAATAAGTGATCGTCAAATCAACGTAATGCAAACGTTCCTTGTTTTTTTTTTCCTTCACGAAACTGAAATAAAGTTAATGTTAAAGCAGCGGACATAGAATAAACGCACATCAAGTCACAAAATGTATACTGAAACGCAAAACCCTGCTTTAGGGGAAAATAATTACGTAAAGTAAAAAATTTTGAATCTTAAAATTATGGATATCTTCAATTTGGTAAATATCGGTAATTTAACGGTTGAACGATTTTCATACCATAACCAGAAGTCAAGTTTGAGTGTGCTTAACAGAAATCAAAAATTGCATGTTTAACAAAACATTTGGCAATATTATCGAGTTTTAAGGGTTTGTACTGTTCATCTTAAGTAATGAAAAAATAAAATCTCCTTTCGTTTCCCGTATCGATGCTAGGGCTTCTTGAAAATGGCTTAAGTACGCATTTCCATTGCTCTAGCTGGAAAATCTCAAAGTAAAGGTGATGTAGAGTTGATGATGCAAAAATACAAAACATTACGCTTTAAATGTGTCTTACGTATCATATGAATAAATGAAAGTCCTTGGATCGGAATTCCAAGGGTTACTACAATGTGCTAAGTTAAAGAAAATTCGACCTAATCATTTGAAAAAAACAGGCATTTAAAAATGGCAAAGAATATATCTCGATATTGATTAACCTATTGTGTCGTAGAAATTAAGCTGCAAATGTTGTTTAGGGCAATCTCGCACGTTGTAATTGACTGGGAGGGGTGTTTTAAGAGTCATATGTTACTAAGTAAAGTTAAAAGATAAACATTTAAAATTTTTATCAAATCTCTGATGTTCTGAAAAATGAGTAAAGCCTTACTGTATTCTTTTTTAAAAATTATAAGATAAAAAAAATTCAAACATTTACAGATTACTGCTTGTTGCTTTTCTTTTGCGTTTCAGTATATATACATCTTAAAGCTGAACAAGATTCATAAAAAAGAATCTGTCCACCATATTCGATCGTTCTCGCGCTATACCTGAAAACCTGCATAATTATATAGAGTCACTCAGTCCCTGTTCAGTGTTACCAATCGTCACCGGTGTAGACGGACGTACATGTACTTGCATATGTATGCTATACAACACACTTCTTCTATTATGCAGGAGAGTAAGATTCCAAAGACCCTTAATTACAACAGTTACATAGGTCGGTGCGGTGTACAAACACAAATATGCGTTATTACAATAAAATGTAAACAAAGGTAATGCAAGGTAACAAGCACGTACATGCGGGTCGCCATTTCACGCCAAAACTTGTGACAATAAAGCAGTCTGGTGAAACGAATGCGAAGAGTATATCCCGGTGTTGATATTGTAGATAGTAATATCGAAAATTGATGTATGCTTATTAACAGTCGTCTTTGTCTTAAATACAAAGTTTAATTTTTCAAAATCTTTATTTAATTCCTTTCAAGATAATCTAATAAACTAGTAAAGATGCATTCTTTTGATCTGGTGAAAAATGGCACCGCACTTTTTTCAAATCTAATGTAAGAGACAATTCTATTAATTCACCGATACTTTTGACATGTCATTCTTAAACAACATATTTCTCAAATCGATATTTTTGTTACGTATCGATATTGTTTGGGCTTTCGCATTGCATTTTTATCTCAGTTTCAAGTCTCTTAGGTCAAATGACTGTCTGAGAAATGTTCAGAAAATGCAAATCAAATTATTTACAGAATAGGGGAAAATTGAGATAAAATAAGGTTTGAATTAGTAGCATTATACAATCAGGCACATAAAAAGAGATTCTGCTACCTAACTGTAGCCAGTAGGATTTATTGTAGCAAAGATTGTCAATCCCCTCAAAAATTATCTAAGAATGGCCAACAAAATTGGGTTGATTCTTATAACACACAGAAAAAAATCTATTTCCTGATTTTTCATAATTGAGTTAAATCGAAGCATTGAATGTTTTTAATGACAACAAAGTGCTTTTAATAAGATGAGTTATATCCTAAATTCACGTGTTTCAGTCCATCACCTTTTTGTTAATTATATAATGCACTCTCATAATATGATGCATTTTAAACAGATATATTAATGAGATAAAATTAGCTAATTCTAATACTAGTATGTTCCTTCAGCGAACATTGACAATTAAAACTACGAAATTTTACATGAATTTTCCCGATCACAACATGGAGAACAAGGGGGGTAATACAGGTCAACAGGGGATGCTAACTTCTCCACGCCACCTGATCCAAACTCTAATGTTTCAGTGGCCTGTGTTTGCTCTGCTCCCCATAAGCTTTCAATGGAAAGTTGAGCTTGTAAAGAGTTTGTTAGCTCCATGCACATACGTATTTGAATTAGTGTTGTATTCAACAAATTTTCTAGATTGAATCTCCGGTGGAATTTCTTTTGTTTTTGTTTTTAATGATATTAAGCAAAACGTGCTTTAAAAGAGAGCATGAGTAACATTCAAAAATGTTGTCGTCCAATTTAAAAAAAAAAATTAATGTGTTAATCATAATATTAATTTTTTTTTATAAAATCAATTATTCTACCCTTGGTTATCAGTTGATTAAACTAAAATAAATTAAGACAGCAAATTAATTTAATATCAGATTATATGTTTGAAAAAAAATAAGAAAAAGAAATTTGTTTTGATCTATCATTGCATCAAATTTTCGCTGATGGTTCGAGTCAACAATTAAATTTTTATTTTTAGGGTCTTGTTTTTATGTTAATTTTTACTACAGAATCTTCCATCTTCCCCATAAATATAGGTCTTGCTGCAGTTTTTGACACTGATTTTGGGCTATGCTTTTTAATTAGGTCCAGGTAAAACTTGCCTCTTTTGCTTCCATTTCTACGGACCTTCTCCAGGTTTGCCTGGGTCTTTCAACCCATTCTTTCCTTGTGGATTCTTATCCATTGCCTGTTTTATGATCTTTTTTTATGGTTTGCGTGAGTTGTGGCCTATCCAACCCCATTTTTTATGTCAATGTCTATGGAAGTTTGGTTGTTTCTCTCCCAAAGCTGTTATTTGATATGATGTCAGGCCAACCGATGTTAAGGATATAGTGGAAACATTTATTTTTTAATGAAAGTACATGTATGTAGTTTGTTATTGTTTTCTTTTATTGATTGATTGATTGATTGTATATTGTTTAACGTCCCTCTCGAGAATTTTCACCGTATGCCGGTGAAGGGCTTCAAATTTTGCCAAGGGCCCGATGTTAAGGATATGGTGGAGACAGTTTTTTATTAAAGTACATGTACGTAGTTTGTTATTTTTTCTTTTAAAAGAAATAATGCAAATATAAGAAAGTAAGTTTATTATAGTAAAAATACAATTGTAATAATACAATATATGTAACAACAATACATTCTGTTTCCTCTGCTCAAAGGACTTTATTGTGTTTCTTAATCTTTGACGATACTGTAAACCAACGATTATTCGCGTCGTCATTTATTCGCGATTCTTCAGTATGAAATCAATCCAAATGAGACATTGTCATATACAAATACAGAGCAAAATAAATAAAATAAAAAATATTGCAGCGTATAATATTTGCGAGTTAAAGAAGGTCGCGAAACTCGCCTATTTTTATCACACGTGAATAAAAGTTGGTTAACGGTAAGTAAATGAGCATATAAATGAAGATGAGGTGATATTAGAATTCCACTTTTGAAGCTAAGACGGGTTTCAAAAGCATCAAATATAAGTGTAAGAAATTTTATAATGTGGCAGGACATAGCATATTTAAGCAATCGTCTGAAGAAGCATACTTTGAATAATTGGAAAGATTCAACTCAGTTAAAATTCTCGTTGTTTTCTAGTATTAAGATAACCAAAAAGCCATGCCATTAATAAAAAACTTGTGAAAACCATGAAAAACCCATACAAACCAAAAATTTGGATAAAACTTGGATAAAAAGTACGATCCATAGAATATATGTGATTTTACATTATTTATCATGTACTTCAAAGATTTTCATTTTCGATTTCGTTTTTGTTTCACAATTGAAAAATTCTGTCTCGAGGTTTTTAGCTAGGGTTTAAAGTGTTAAGTTTCAATTTGAAGCAATATTTTAGTACAATCTATTATTGTAATACAAATATATTTTGTACTACATGTAAATAATAAGGGTTTTCATGCTATATGAGATCAAAGAAAATTCACATTATTTATAAAAATGACACAATATCATTTGTATAACAACCGTAACAAACATAACAGAAAAGAACCAGCGTCGTCAAAATTTTTGACATTTTGATGATTCCTTGAAACATCTTCGAAAACTTTTGCTACACGCACAATACAGAACAAAATTGATAGCAAAATTGGTGTAATACATGATTTGTAGACAATGCTGAATTAGAAAGAGATCAAAATTCTCTTGTCGTCTTTTCAAGAAATCATTCACTAGTATAAAAAACCGAAATCCATGGCTAGGGAGATTGAGCACAAGGAACACCGTCGACACAATGATTAACATAACAGTCAATCGAACTTGTGCCTTGGATAAAATATTAAACATCGGGGAAGTGGAGGTGTACATTTTCCCGTGGCTCATCTGGAATTGTCGGAAGTAAAATCTCCGAATAGCTCGAATGACGGCAATATTAAATATAAAAACTGCAGCAATGGGTACTATGAAGGTAATAATGCTGTCAAAGTATGTTATAACACGAAGAACATGGTAATAACTTTCTCGAATTCTGCATAATTGTCGTTCATTATCGTCAAGCTGGTCTGTTTTCATAGTGAAAAAACAATGAGAATAAAATAGCATTGCAAACGTTGTTATTATAGTCAGTGCAATCAAAACGCGCTGTCTGGAACACATTCGAGGGCCTTTTAGAGGATGACAGACGACTATGTATCTATCCAGCATTATCAAAACCACGTACCAAATGGACAAAAAGCTGGTCACATAAGTGACGTAAATGGAGATCATACAGAGCATGCCTGACTGGGAAGCAAATCGAGATCTGTCGATGCTACCGAACCAGCTGACCAATAATGCAGAAAGAAACCATGTGTCTGACACGCTCAACGCCGCCAGATACACACTGGAAGGCTGCTTTGCAAAACTAGTGAAGACAAACACACGGAAAGATAACGCATTTCCAATGATGCCAAAGATGCACAGGATAGGAATGAAGTACTTGTAGAGAATATGAACGAAGTCGTAGAAGTTTTCATTTTGTTCCAAAGTGTTGGTGGCATTTCCAACATCAGATGTGTTGAAAGTTACGTTTGGAATATTTGAAACTCTTTCAACCATTGGTGCAAATGTATTCTGAAAAGGATAGAAAGTATGGACTGAAGAATAAACGAAAACCTACATTTGACCAAAAAATTGAAACAGCAGTCGTGTATCGATTTTTAATCATACATAATTAATTGTCAGCATAATTATAGCAAGTAATGTTTGCTTTGATTGTACGTTACAAAGGATTAATGTATCAATAATGTAGAAGGATATTTTGATCTGATGAATAGCCTAATCATGCAATTAGAATTTAATGCTTCGATAACTTGAAGGCCATTAAGAATAAAGATGTAACGGAACTATGCCGTCTGTTTATAAAGCATTAGTTTGCTTGCCGTATCAATTTAAGTCTCTTTACATTTATCCGTAAGATCTTTGACGGTAATTTAAATCAATACATCTCTAATGGAAAACAGACACCCGTTGATATAGAACTAATTCAGCTTTAAGTAACCGTGGACGCACTTACTATCTTTTTTTTTCAATGAAAGGTGCTAGAGAGTTATCGAAAGGCGTGTCAATTACGAAGACTGGACATGTTTTTTGGATACACATGTCAACTTCAAAAGGCACTCATATCATTGTTAAAGAAGGAGGCCGATAAAATAGTATTGAAGCAATTCAAATAAGTCTTCGGTATTTCGATTTTTTAAATAAAGATTCTTGAAAGCAAAAACATATATATTTTTGTTATTATTTAGTCTCAATATTTACTGGCTTTATGAATCTGTATGGCTGATAGATATCATAAAAGGGTATCTAAATGGAACATTCTAATATAATCTTAAAACCGCTCCATCATCGATAGTTTCAGAGGGTAGGCATTCCGTATGCAGAAATGCATGGAGAAAAGAGGAGGTTAATTGTCTTGTTTTCGTAATAAAATCTAGCTACGGTACTTTAGCATAGTGAATTGCTTTTTAATCATGAGTGTACGATAATAGCTATGGGGAACATATGAAAATGAAAAAAAGAGCATTACAATGCTTAACATTGAACAATTGTATTGAAAGCTAAGTGAAAACCCAATTAATCACTTAGGAAAAGATCGTCCTTTTTGATGGCAAAAGTATGTATCACTCTGCATGGTAAGACAATAGCAACTGCTTATCAACAAATACAATAAAGATTAAATTGCTTTCCATGAAAGGTCAAATTTTGTACTATCATGCATATATTTGTATAATGTTATACATTTACATATGGAGATCCCTAAATGAAACTATGTTGAAGTTTAATAATAATAAAAAGAGGATTTCAATTGTGTTTTTTAAAAATCGAACACTGTTAGCTTTCTTCGCATTTTCATTTTAACTTTTCATTCCATCTTCGCAAGTAAAACTTTGAACCTCTCCAGTTTATAGAAAATAATGAAAGAAAATAAATCTCCTATAAGATAATGAAAATCGTATAAATTTAACTAATTCCATAATAAAAAAAAGCTTTAAACTTATATGTCGTATGAAGATTACAAAGAAAACATTGCACCTACCTACTGAGATTTCCAAAGCATATCGTCTGAAGCGGTACTACTTTTATATAAATTGTCCATGTTATAATTATAAATTCCATAAAATCCAGAAAAAAAGATAGTTACTTCAAGTTTTATTATTCATTTAACGCAATTAAATTTGAATCCAAAAGAACAACAGCAATGCGGTTATTTTTTTTTAATATCCAATAATAAAAAAATATGCTCCTTCATGGAGTAAGGATTCATCACTGGACGTGTAATCCTGACTTAGGTTTTCTTAATAGATAAGAGAAAGCAACGGCCTCAGATTTTTCTCAGCTGAAGAGAGAATAGGTGTGTTGTGGAGCTTCCGTCAGAGTTACGATCCCTATATCCTCTATCTATCGATTTCTGTGTTAACCACCTTCTGTGGACGACAGAATCCCCCCAGAGAGCAGCTGTGAAAAGCCAATGAAACGATTAGACGATATTCATAATCGGATATTTGATAGAGGTACTGTTACTTGAAATTAATTTTATTAGCACCTAAATATACTTTATGTTTCCCCTACGATGCTTATGGATTGAGATGAGTAAACGGCATCGTGAATCGTGTGTTTTTTGTTTTCGTGAGCAGATCAAATTCAAGATGAACATGAAACATTTATTTTTTATTCTTTTATGTCATTGACCATCAGTCTCGGAATTATAGAGAAAAGAACATTTAACCCCTTACCATCTTCCAAAAATGCACATTTTTCATTTACCATCCTTTATTTTATTTGTACTTTAGACATTTTTCGTTATACAAATTGCTGAATTTGAGAATGAATAAAAAACATTTTCACTTGCTAATTACTTTCTAAAAGATAGCAAGTTTGACAATAAGTTGAATTAAAAAAAATTAACAGTCTCATTTGAAATAAACTTTTCTCAATTTACCTGATAAAAAAGGTAAAATTTCCCTTTATACTCGTACAGCTATATCTCACGATAAAACAGAATCTTGATTTCAAAGAAACTTTATTTTTAAAAAAACAACAACCAGGAACTGGAGTTCCTTATTGACCAAATCTATGTTGTCTTCTTTCAATAAACTGCTTAAAATTCCGATGGGCACTACTCGTGCTTCTTTATATATTTCTTTTACATATATTTATATTACTTTGAAGCAGTACTTATTAAAATCAGGGACCTAAATACTAAGTATATAAAGCCCTTTTTAAATAATGAAATAATGAATAATGAAAAGAAATAATTGTAAATAAACACTAGCTATTTCTATTCTATTATGTTGACTCAATATTTCCCAGGGAACTTGAAATTAAACTCACCAAAGTGTCTACCAAATCTTTTGCATATTTAGATGCTTTACTGACTTAAGACGACAGCGACCTATTATAATTGAACTATTGGACTCCAACCTTACCGTTTTTATATTTAAGCAAAAAATCATTATGTTTTGAAAAATAAAATCTCATAACTGCAACGGTGTTCAAACAAATTGAGTTATGAAAAATACTGGCATGCACTGTTTCAGCTATGAGACTAAATCTTTAAAAAAAGATTCATTGTTTATATTTACATTTTTAACTGATATTGCCTTTCATTGTAAATGTGATACACATTTCAAAATTCCTGTATTATCGTTCGGGTAAATTCCAGCTTATGGAAAAGCCAAAGCAACAACTCATGTTCAAAGTGAGCATGATATTTGATTTTCGCATATGATGTTGTACTTCCAAGACATTGAACGTTTTTGACGTCAAACATAAATGACATCTTTAACCTTTTGACCCCCTTTCCGTATTTTAAATGCAATAAATTTCCATTTGCTCAATACACAAAAAACGAGTACAATGTCGATATATTAATATACTGTCATCACCTGTATATGGTGTTTACGTCTCAACCATATTATGGTATAATTATTATATTTATGGAGGTCATAAAAATTACCCTATAAGCAAATGATGCCTATCTTTAAGTCTTCTTTGGCTGAATTTTTTCATACCAATTGTTACACCTTTTGTACTAAATTCTTGATCAATACGTAGGGCGGGTGTGTCCCGTGGGGATATTTACACTTTCTCTGGTTTTTATGAAGCTGATTATTCTCTGTGATCACGACAAACTCTCGGTAGCTGTGACTGGTCAACAACAAATGCTTTCTTATTTATTGCATTTGATACCATCTCTGTTGTTCTGGTGGTTCGTTTTTGGCGCTACTACTTATTTGTATTTTTGATGGACTTTTGTACCTGCTTACTTTCTTTAACGACGTTCGATCCTGATATTTAAAGTCTTAAACTTTTTTTGCCAAGTATATTTTAAGTTTCTACATACATAGCTTAATTGAAATTCAAATCAAAAAATGGGGGTTAATATGCTTCTTTTAGCGCTATAGTACATTTAATATGACCTTTCTGCACTGAAATTTGTGTCTTAATTAAAAGTTATATCTTCGACGTTTTCCCTCCAATATTTTTATCCAATTAAAGCATGAAACAAAATGAACTCTAAGTCTGTTTTAAAAAAGACTCTTAAAAATAGTGACTAAGAAAAAGTTTCAATCTGCTTCGCATAATCAATTATTTGACCTTTCTGCACTAATAAAATGTTATTTTTCCGGCATTGAAAATATAATAAGCAAGAAAATTATTTTAAAGTCTTAAACTATTTCTGATTTTAAGCAAATAGGTCAAAGTTATCTTGAATATTTAGAAAAGAACATCAAAAGTAGGGGTATATGATGTAAATTTTCAGATATTACTAAAAAGGTGTGAATTTTACGTTAAAATTGACTCAATTTTTTCCCCGGGTTTTCAAAATAAATTTACTATATTTGTCACACTTTGTTGATAGAATTCATAATAAATAATTTAATAGATATTTCAGAACCAGCATAACATATTCCGCTGCAAAAAACAGCTTTGTGTGCAACTAGCATGGAAAAATAGGCATCCAAAATTAACAGTACTGTTGTAGTTCAAATGCAAAAAAATGATCATTTTCGTCTAAAAAACCTTCCACCACAAAATATAGTCCCTTGCTTAATTCTTCTTGAATGGAATTTAATCGCGGTTTTTTATTGAATATAGTTTAATTTGCATTGCAGAATTCAGTTTTATTGTTAGAACCTAAAAATTATGCTTGAATATATGAATAAAGGACCTGCGCGAAATACGCTCAAAATATCAGGATCGAACGTCCTTAAGGGGAGACAGGGCACATGTCACATGTCTAAAAAGACATATTACGTCATAATCGGTGATGATATACATGTTTAACGTTGTTAAAATAAACAGTTATTGAGTAATTTTATTCTAAATTCTAAAATTGTTTCGCAAACATTTAATTTTAGAAATTATTATTAATAAACTTTCTAAAGATCTTGCGATCATTTAGATATTGTGAAGTTGCCCAATCCACACATTTGTTTCTCTTTACCCTGCAGTCTGACATCAGTGACGTCATAGACGTAGTGTTTGAATTCTCAGTGCAGCGAGATCAAGTACACACAGCCGTTATGATCAGTTTTATTTCATAATAAAGAGGTCAGTCAATGTATCATGCTAAATTTCTGAAGCAGATTTTTTTAATTAATATTTTTTCGTGTTTAGTAGCAGAGATTCTCTCTATTTAGATAATTTTGAATGTTTATGTTTTCGTGTGACGTCACAATTGATTTCCTGCACTCGGAAAATACAAACGTGAAGCGTTTTTATCATGCTTACGTCTAATTCAACGATGTCCTGTGCGATATTGAAGTAAGCTTCACCCTGTGATACTTATGCAGTAAATAATTACGATGAAGGACTGGCATTCAATCAAATTTGGAAATATTTCTTGACAGAATTTTTTCCAAATGAGGTTTTTGCTGTTAATGCTGCCTTGAAAAATGCAGAAATTATCCCACCCAAATACTATATAAAATTAAAACAATTGCTTTCAGATAATTTAAACACTATGAACAATCTGAAATATTTGAGTATATAGTGTTGTCTATCATATTCATCGTTTGTGCGTAAAAATTCGCATTATGGACTTCGTTATGGGCCCGTAAACATGAATTATCTAAACTCCATACAAACTCTAAACAGGGCGGTATTTGTGGGGCTTTATCTTTTAAATTAGTCAAGAAATCCCATGACAGGACCGTTTTAAAATATTAAGTACGTATTAAATTAGTAATATGAAAAATACGAAAAAAATTCATTGACAGGATTTTTTTCAGCTAAAGGTCCTGTTCCTCCTTAAATTCTGTATAATTCTTGTAAATAAGCATAGATGAGTATAGAGGATTTGTTACTCGTATTACAATTAAGGTCATACGTAACGTACCTTACCCATAGATAATTTTTCAAGATATTCAAAATTTAGGATTATGGTGACATCAGATTGTTTATAGAAAAAAGATTAGCGTGCATTACCAATGGTTTTTAAAAGATATCAATTGATGAAAATTCCTGGATAATTTAAAGAAAAATATATATAAAAATTACAAAATATGAATTCTAGATATTTCTTTTATCAAAACTTGGTTTAGAAAAAGTTTACAACACCATATTTAGACACTCAAATAAAGCACACAATTCCTTCAGCTCCATGGAATAAGACAAAAAAAAAGGTCAATCTACATTGCGTATGTCCTTAAATATACATTCATGCTTACGGCATTTAAAATTATTCCTATCTTTAAAATAAAAATAAAAGCAATGTTAACTCTGAGTTTAATTTGCTTACAAACTCCATATGATTCTTGTCCTGATCGGATAATATCTGAAGAATCCCTCGTCAATTCAGTGTTTAATAAATGGATGAACAATTTGTATGAAAAACGTCAGTCAGCATTTGACTCAATGATAAATTGTAATTGATGACAAAGTCATTGGATCGACCATAAAATGACATAAGTAAAGAAACTAATGATATATTTGAACTGATTGTATTCCTGATTCTTAAGAGCATGCTGAGCAAATAATTCATTAAAGGTACAGTCTGACATTACTTATAGTATATAACCCTCATAAAAGATAAAAAGGGTAAGAAAGAACCCTTCCCACTTATCTAAAGCATTTGTATATATCTCTCATTTGCCTTTAAAGTTTTTTATTCTAACATGTTGTTTGATTTCTCACTTTGTTCTTTTTATATCATATGCATATTATGTTCCTTCTCTGCCTAAGATGTACGCGAAACAATTCAGAGTAATTAGCCATAACCTTTATCATGATAGGATTCTTACTTGCAATTATTGGGTACAGATTTTTATTTAAGTTTAGAACTCGCAAAAATAAGCAAAAGTCAAAGGAAGTTTAAGCTATGATATCAACATCTTTTGATTTAATGTCTTATATGGTCTATGTTTGTTGAAATTATAATTTCAAAATTTACAGTATTGTGGACTTTATTGTAAATATTTTGTATATTATATATTTTTAAGAATATTTCCTTTTAAAGAAATGCTCTTATTTTACTGTATACTGGGCAGAACTTTGTATAATTGAATATTAAACTTTATGTTTTAAAACTAACATAAACTAGTTTAATACATTTTGATAAATTTTACGAAGTCAAATTTTCGTTAAAAAAATTGCATTAATTAACATTCATCCCAGTCGAAGAGGCTTGATGTAAAAAAAAATCATGAATGAGAATTGTATTTAATCAACACAATTAATTAATTTTCTTAGCAGACAAAATCCTTTTCATTTGGTCACACATTCCACTGTAAGGTTAATATTGAGATTAGACCTTTCTCTTTATTTGTCTTCAAGACAAACATTCTATTTTTAGCACTACATGTGTTAAATATGAATAATATAGGTTGTCTTGATTGACAAGCACTAGTACATGTACTTTATTTTAAAAACAAACAACCGACAAAAAAGAGTCAATTATTCGTAATGCGAATACGAGTTGGAGAATATCAGAAGCTTAGAGAGGCCGATAAAGGATCATAAAAAATAAATAGCCTTAAAGTCTGTAGTTACACACAGAACATTAAGCCTGATATCAATGAGGAAAGATGGATTGGAGCTGAAAGCACATATTTGATACATTTATAACAGATGTTGATCCATGAAGCGTACGTAAAAATGCGATTTTTGCAACCTTGCTTTACGCAGATTTAAACACGTTCATTTAAAATAAATTATATAAAACATGGAGTAAATTTCTATATTCGAAGTCTTTTAACGGGAAACTTCTAAATCAGTGAAATTTTTCGAATAGAATGTAAAACTAAGCTACGGAAGCCCATTTAGGACCTATCAAAAAATATTTTTGAATTCGTTATAACGATTTTTAGAATTCGTTTTAACGAATTCAATTAAGCATTGAATTCATATTTTTGGATGTCTTCGGTCCTATAACACACCTGGCCGTGCCGACAAAGTGAATACCGCGCGTTATACTTTTATTTACATTCTCTAATTTTCCTTCTTCATAATTGCTTATTTTGTTAATTTTAATGTGAATTTAGCGCCCTTCAAAACTGCCGTGGTTAAAAGATGTAATAGCCGTTTGTGACGTCAAATGACGTTAAATGACGTTGCAAAGTTAAAGTACGCAAACAAACATTGCGAGGAAAAAAGATGACAAATTAATTCTTAACGCACATTACGTTAATTTTTACGTTAATTTTTTATGGTTATAGTTTTTCATTAAATTGAAATAAAACATTTTACATTTTGGTGTTCCTAGAGTATTGAAAATGCATATAGTTCCTACTGTGTATTTTAACGCGCGGTGACAAGGTTTCGCGTGTGTTATAGAAATTTGAACGTCGTGGATTTCTAATGGATTTCATAAGGAAAATTACACTGAATGTAAATATTTTGTTATAACAGATTTATTGAATTCGTTATAACAAATTCAATATGTTATAACAGATTCATTGAATTCGTTATAACGAATTTAATTTGAAATAACAGATTCATTAAATTTGTTATAACGAATTTAATTTGTTATAACAGATTCACTAATTTGTTATAACGAATTTAATTTGTTATAACAGATTTATTGAATTTGTTATAACGAATTAAATCTGTTATTACAGATTTGTTGAATTCGTTATAACCAATTCAAAAATTCGTTAAAACAAATTCTTGAATTGGTTTTAACGAATTCAACAAATCTGTAATAACAGATTTAATTCGTTATAACGAATTCAATAAATCTGTTATAACAAATTAAATTCGTTATAACAAATTAGTGATTCTGTTATAACAAATTAAATTCGTTATAACAAATTTAATGAATCTGTTAACAAATTAAATTCGTTATAACGAATTCAATGAATCTCTTATAACAAATTAAATTCGTTATAACGAATTCAATGAATCTGTTATAACATATTAAATTTGTTATAACGAATTCTAAAAATCTGTTATAACAAATTGAATTCGTTATAACGAATTCTAAAAATCGTTATAACGAATTCAAAAATATTTTTTGATAGGTCCTAAATGGGCTTCCGTACTACTAAAACAATATCATTTGACCGATTAGTCTGACTATTTTAAAGTATCACAGAAAGGCATATTAAACTGTTGTAATATAAGGCAATAACGAACAGTATTCAAGCTCTAATGACCATTAAAATATAAAAATCAGGAACAGAGCAAACATGGACCACGAGAACATCAGAGCTGGGATCAAGTACCATGGAAGAGTGAGCATCCCACCATGTGCTCCTTGTCATGATCGGGAATTAACAGAAAAATCCGTGGACAATTCAATTGTAGTGACCTTACAATGAGTATGAAAAACACCAGCCAGCATTTGTACTAGTAGCAATGTCAAATAAAATAATAGCTAAGAAAGATTTAACTGTGATATATTAATATTCCTGGTTCTTGCAAATCAAAGGTACATGTAGTTGAAATATTCTCTTTTGAATCAAAGATCCACGCGGTTATTACAGTGTATTAACCAATCGAAGAAATGTTGATATTAAACTCAACTTGTTTTTATTGAACTTATCATAATTAATTGATGTATTAAAAAGAATTTAGTGGAATAATTTATATACAATTTGTTTTGTAACTATAGTTAATGTTATACCAACTTCGATTTCTTCAGCGAACTTTTAAAGAGCAGCGTTTGGATGTACAGATGTATATTATAAAATGCAAATTTAGAACATACTTAGACAGATGCATGATAAGCCTATTGAAGTAAGTACGACTAACTGCCATTAAACATTTCTTGAAAGGAATAAATTACTTGTGTTAATTACTTTTTATTGTCTACAAAGAAAACAATCTCTGACATGTTTTGCCGCCCCAAACCAGTCATGTTTAATAATCAAAGCAAGAAGAACTCGTTTCATCTCAAATTGACAGCAAGCAGACGATGCCGTGAAATATATAAGCACCAACAGGAGAAGGACTTGAGGAGATATTATTCTCAGATCATAATGTACAAGTTCTCCTTATATCCACTACCTAATATTAGTTTAGTTTAGAATTAGGTGAATTAAGTTTATTATGTCCTTGTTCTTTAGGCATGTCAATCATATCCGCAAATCTTCTAATGATACAGGTTAACACACCAAAATAATTATTTACACGATAGCAAAGTTTGTTTGACATTTATGCATTCATCAATAAGCCTAGAACTTAAAAATACACCAGAGAAAAGGTCAGTAAAATGCACTATACGATTAAAAATAGTTCTTTAAAATCATTCCGAGTCTGGTTCTGAATATCGTTTACTTGCAATTATTAGTCAAGGACATACTCGTCTCATATAAATCTGAAACAACCAAAGGAAGCACGCTTTTTCATTACACTGTAATAATCTGAGGATAACAAACAATAATAAAGCTTAGCAGCCCTGGAAACAATTAAAGTTAGGCACAACAAAAGACATTACGTCACGTAATTTAGTGCTACACCTAGTAAATCTGAAGATCATGAACAGTATACAGTATATAAGATCATTAGCCCATGGAAAAAAATTAAAATGTAAAATAAATATTAAAAATCTGCTCCAATTTGATGGAAGTTTGTTTACTTCATGTTTTATATGACTTTGTATCAAAGAGGTTTTAAATGAAAAAAAAAACTTAATTCTGTCGTAAACAACAGGTGGGAGGAAGCTTCTAAACGAATCCCACAAAGAATCTGGTGTCTAATTTACAAAGATGATATCGTTTACATATATTAAAGACAGTAACACAGTATCGGGTTTCCCCTAAAAGCCGAACTAATACACAGGCTTTATATCTCTCAATTGATTTTATAAGCAAGAGCATGCTCTACGTATGAACAATTTCTAAAAAGAGATAAATTATAGACAGGCAAGTTGATGAATCAAGACTTGTATGAAGTCATTGTTTTGAAAGTTCTATGGTCGATACAATGACCTTGTCAACAAAAACAATCTATCATTAAGTCAAATGTTGTTTGAATTTTTCTTCATACAAATTATCGAGAATTATTTACAAACATAATTGTCCATCATCTCAGGGATCACACGACAGCTGTGACCGGGTCCTCAGGGGATGCTCGCTCCTCCAGGGCACCTTATGCTAATTCTAACGACTGTTTTTGAGGTCCGTGCTTGCTCTGCACCTGTTCTGTTACTGTTAAAAAGGACTTGGTCTCGAGTGCTGTTCGTTGTCTCCACATGTTCCACAGAAAATTCCGTATAGACCTATCAATGAAATTTAAAAATGATCTTAAAACGATCAACATTTGCCAACAATATCATTATAACGACCAAAACAAAATTTTGAAATCATTTTGTAGGATCAATGTATATGCAGAACCCGTCTCCGTTTTAAAGTTAATCATTTTCAGAGCATTCTCATGAATTTCAAATAATTTGAGAGAAGTAAACGAAATATTTATGTCCATAGCCAAATGTTACTTCTTAGAAAAAGGGAAGTTGAAGTAGGAAAAAATTGCACCTGTCTTTTTTAAATAAAAACTTAATAAAAAATGTTCACTTCATTTAAAAGGTCATGAATAAAGCTACTTCGTTCAAAATCATTCTGATTCTATTCGAAATTATTATGATGTTGATACTGACGATTGCTGGAGCTCCTCATCGAAAAATTTATAGTATATTCAGAGCCCATTTATTTAAAAATCTGTTAGAATTCCGATGGGTATAAACTGCGCTCCTTTAAAGCCCATATTCTTCATTATTTCTATGAAACAAAATTATTTAAAATAAGACACACTAGAGAATAACACGTGACCTTCAACTCCGAATTGAGATATAATAATTTTGATCAACAATAAATATTACCATTGATAAGTCGACTCGTTATATCCAAGTGTTACAAAATCAGAGACATCACAGAGTCTGCTACTTTTTTTATGATATTTGGATGTTATACTGAATATAGGAGATAAATACCGATAAACAACTGATTTTTTTGAGAAATGAGAAGACTTCAGCTTTTCAACTATCAGCTTTCCTTATTTGTGTAATAATAATCTGCTATTACCTGCGTATAGTGTTCATATCTCCCAATTTACTACCTAACTCAAAAAATAAGCTCTGCGTGCGATCAATTTTAAAACTAATGCTACTCACAGATAAGCTAATGTTACAGAGATTTCGACAACCTCGTTTCAAGTCAGCGATTTGTAAATTCTATAAAACGCCACAATAAATCTGTCAGTAAAAAGTATTTTCAAGTCATTCGCTTAGTTGCAGGATCAGGAGCAAACAAGGAAAAGTGATTTAAATTTCAATCGAAAAAAAAGGCGACATTCGATATCATCATGGTCCGTCCCTAAGCAGTTCAGATTTAAGTAAATTTAGTGATGCCGCAGATTTGAATTGATGACAGAAAAAGTATAGAAGGATCTGACTTAATCTTTACTGTAACAGAAATGGGCATTTTAAGCAGATGCCTTCTCTTGAAGAAGACGAATAGCTTTTGGAGGGGGACTTTTATAAAATATTGCTTTATATTGTTTATTACAGTGTAGTCAATGTCAATAATTTATAAGTACTAATCTTTGATCGAAGGACCCACGTTGGAACGAGAACGCTTTCACGTTTGTTAATGTACGGATATAATGGACTTTGAATTAGGAAACAGCAAAAAATGAACATCCTGAATTATATTGATTTATATACCTTTTGTTTTAACACAAATGAAACATGACATCTGTTAGACATTTTTACATTAACATCTGTACATCGTGATGTGATACGGAAATCCCATACCTTGTTAATTTGAGCATGTGCATGTATATATCTTTGTAATAAGTCATGTAGATTTGGCTGGAATTAAGGATTTCCATCCTATATGGGACTAAATCCCATACCCTTCAAGTAAATAATACTCTGATATTATATTAAAGCATTTTACAGTAGAAAAGGATTGACCGCGAGAAAGTTTAAAAAATGTCATTAATTAAGCAGTAGTTAATTAACAAAGATTGCATTGAAATCTATGGGGAAAAGTGTTTTTTTTTCAAAATAAAAATTCAAAAAATACATGTATGAATATCAGTAAATCCTGCAATGGAAAGATGCATTGAAACATTAGAAACTTTTTTCGTTCAATTAAATGTTGAGCTATATATTTATATCATAACAGAGCTACCGTACATAGCCCTAGTGTAAAAGTAAGCGTCAACTGTAAAAGTCAGCGCTTCTCGTAAAAGTCCATTAGGGATTGAATACCTTAAATATCTTTATTTCCCCTAACCCGACCCTAAATTCTCAAGTTGGGTCGGTAGGTAGGTAAACAATTTTTTTTTCTGACCGCAGCTTTGAACAAACATTCTAAAATTTAATGGAAAATTACCTTTATAAATAAGAAAAGTACAAAAGAAAGTGATTTGTGAACAAATGCTAAGTATCATACATATACCGTTTAAAAGAAAAATTCATGATTTATTAATTCACAACTGTTACTTAGTTGAACTTGTGAAATGTCTCACGCCAAAGTACATTTATATAAATCGAATAAAAAAAAGACAATATTCTCAAACTCGCAAAGACCGAACATCCGAGTATATTTTTCAAACCTCCCATCAGCCTCCAGTGCTTATAGACATGAATGTCCCTTTTTGAGGGCCATGCGATTTGCAGTGATTCTAGAGCATTTTGCTATGGAGTTTAGAAGAAAATGGCTAGTTTTAAGTCACAGGTTCAAATCCCAATGAGTAACGTTGAAAACAGACAAAAGGTACCTTAAAAACTTATGTCCAGTGTCAAAGAAGACGCTGGCTCAAAAAAGATGCCCCACTGTTTAATGGCAAAAAAGTGCTGAGGAAGTCTAAAATTGGAGCAATGGGGAAATGTTCAAATGTCGTCGCAACAAATCAAGATGGGATTAAAAGCAAAGAAACAAACAATCTTCAAGGACCTACTTAAAGAAAAATACACTGGACGTCTCAGGAAGCTGAAGCATTATTTCAAAACTATTTGGAAAGAATATGTAAACAAATATTTAATTGAACCAAACCTAATCTACAAATGATAAAAATACTATATACAATGTCATAGTCACGAAGTTTAAATAAAGGAATGAAGAAAGGACATCTAAATTATATTTATCAGGATGAATATGCAGGCATATTTACAACAACTCTTTTGGTTCCATAATGGCATATAGTAAACAAAGGAACATAGATGAACTGGTTGTAAAATCAAAACTCGAATTAAATAAAATGCAGTTCACTAGGTGGATCCCTCATCTACTCATG